ACACATAGTATATATATATATATATATATATATATATATATAAAATAAATAATAAACATTTAACTTTACATTCCACAAACTAAAATATTAGTTGTGCGTACATGAGAAATCGAGTTTTTGTTCCCAACAGTTAGAACACGAAGAATCTTGATTTGTAATGGCTCAGTTCATCATGTAATACTTAATTTGATTAAAAATGAACTTACAAAATTCCACCCAAACAGCACAGCAAACATAATTGTAAGTGGTTATGCATGAGAATCGCGCATTAGATGATACAGATCAAAGTGAATTTCTTAAGGAGATTTCTAAGTCTCATCGCTGGCCAACTGCTGCTCTACATTATTAGAAAGAGTAAAATAAACAGAAAACAGTACTAAGACAAAAATTCCAAATCATAAAATTAACAAATCAGTTTGCAAGACTGTAATTGTCGCTAACACAACAACCACAAACAATTCCAACTGTAATGAAAACAAACATTGTATGGATTACACAGTTTTGCCTACTTGCCCGCTATATTTTTGAAGATCTTAAAGGAGATAATCTACATTAAAATATCACAAAATTCTTAAGAAAGTTCTTCTAAATCTTCACAAGTTTGACCCATCAGTTGAAATACTCGCGCTTGTATTTCTGCAAGAAAACAGAGTGAAGATGTTGTCAACCATAACTTGATTTGCAAGTTTAAAATGTATAATGATACAGCGACATACTACTCCAATAATCCCCAAAATGAACATTATCAGAGAATAATATAACTTAAAAAACAATTAATACAACACAGAGAACTAAAAATTACATCTTAAATATTTAAATCCATGTCCGAAAAACATGAATATTTGATTACACTCAGAATAAGATGAACTTGAATTAACAAAGAATGACCTTCAGAATAATATGCAGTTATGCACACACTGTTACTAGAAGAATCACACCCTCCCTTTTGCTCATGAATCTCATACGCAAGACAGTCATCAAAAATAAAAGAAGAAAATCAGTTGAAGAAAATAAAATTACAAGACAATTGGAGGATAAGAGATCCACCAAAAAAAAAGAATTTGAAAAATAAACAAAAAACACTAATGGAGCAAAGTTACTTAATCACTGTGTGTATGTTACAGAAAACCCCCCTTAATAGACCATGTGTTTTAAACCAAGTGTTAATTGCCTTAATCTCATTACAAAACAGCTTCTAAGCAAGCACCTCTCGTCAAAAATATGAGCATGGTGCTCCATCCAAATGAACCAAATAATAGCATGGATTGATAGTCACAAAAATTTAGCATCTTCATCTGTAATGAAACCATTAAAGATAGCATCTAAAAATCGGCCCAAAGACCAACGACACACCCCACATTCACCATAGACAAACGAGCAATAATTAGTTAAAAAAAAAAAAAAAAACACCACCAAACTCCCCCACTAATGATATAAAAGTCGTAAAGCGCCAATAACAGAACCAATTAGAAACACTTGGGCAGAGTCTCCTCCTCTGGATTCTCTCCTTCTTTCCCTCTCTTTCTCTCTCTTTCTCTCTCTCTCTCTCTCTAGAATTTTAACTTTTCACTCAGTTATAATTTTCACCCCCCTTGCCCCTATTTATAGGCATCTTGGGGTCCCCGGAACGGCCCGTATTGGATTCGGAACGGCCCGTTCCGGATCCTTCGAACATAAGCAAATTTAGCAACTGGAATGGCTCGTTCCAAAATCGGAACGACCCGTTCCCAAAAAGCAGAACGGCCCGTTCTGAAGTTCACGCTAACACTGATTGACCATAGTTGGAACGACCCGTTTCCAACTAAGGTCTTTAAGCAATTTCATAACCTTGGAACGGCCCGTTTCCCTTTGGGAACAGTCCGTTTCCCTTTGGGAACGGCCCGTTCTGGAAATACAAAAATGAGTAATTTTTTTCTTTGAAACGGCCCGTTCCACTTTTGGAACGGCCCGTTCTGGTTCCTCAAAAATAACTTATTTTCATTATCTGGAACAGTCCGTTCAACTTTTGGAACAGCCCGTTCCAACCTAAAAAATATGATTTATAAAAAATTTTATAAATAATTTTAAATTAATACAAACCTCTATAAAACCCCTTTAATTAATAAATAATAATCAACAAGAAAATTCAGGGTGTTACAAGTTCCGAATAAAATATATGTGATCTCAAACCAAAAAATAAATATAACAAAAAGTAAATATTGAATTTGTAAAATGTATATTCTGCGGTTCTACCGTTATTAATCATTCCATTTGATAAATTTTTATAAGAAATTTCGGAAGGTTTACCCTGATTTTTTCGTAAAACTTTTCTTTAAAAAAAATTAATTAATCAACCCTTCATTTGGTCAATAAAATAAACAATAAATGCAATTATATAGGATAAGATCACTGCACAAAATTAATACTACTATCTCTTAATCACATATCTCTTTCTATATAATACAAAAAAAAAAGTCAAGATATACATTAATTAATTAATTAAAAATGAGGTCTCAATATATTTGAAAGTAAGTTGAATAAGACAAAAAAGAAAAAAAATATATATAAAAAATACTCTTAACAAATATAATATTAATTAAATTAGTTACTTTTTTTTTATATTGTATAGTGTTTAAAATTTAAAAGCATCATATATATAAAATAAAAAGACACGAATGTATCATGTTTACTTTTAAACTTTGACCTGACTTTTAAAAAAAATTGTAAAGTTTATTCGGTCTTTTTTCAGGAGATATCATTTCATCTCCAATTTTAGTTCTATACTATATTTATTATTATAATTTCCAATTTTGTAACCTTTATATTAAATTTATTAGGGTTATTATTATTATTATTACTACTACAAAATAATGATAATAATTAATATTATTATTACATAGTAATGTTAATAATATGTTGATGTGGTATGAATTGTTTGTGAATTTTTTATAATAGGTAAGTAAACTCATTAATTTAAGAGAGTGACTCCTATATATTTCTAAACTTTGTAGTGTGATTACACTATTGAAACATTACAAAGTAAAAAAAATACACAATAGAATATAAATAATTTCTCTTTTTTATTTTCTTTCATTCATCATAAGAACAAAATGGATCGAATGTCTTTAACTCATTCAGGTATTTTTTATTTTATTATTTATTATATTATACATGTTATAGTTAAATATTAGAATGCGTATGAATGTATGAAATATTTATTGTTAATGTATGATAGGTGTATATATAACAAAGATATAAGATTGCAAAGTTTATTTGAAAAGTGAGATTAGGAATTGGAGTATGGAAGAATTTAAAGATTAGAGGCTCTCTTATTTTAGGGCTTGGAGTTTTAATTCATGGGTTCAATGGTTTGTAAATTTTTTTTATTCTTGCCTATTTTGTTTATCATGGATTGTTGATTTTCCTCACTCTATCTTATTTTCCTTCAAAATTTCAAACTCATTTTTTTACAGTTGGACAATGTCAAAAATAATTTGATAGAACTTTAAATTTAAATATATTTTTAGTCTTTATAAGATAATTTAGTTTTGATTTTTTTTTTGTAAATTTAACATTATTGTTTTAAAAATTGTAAATATTATTTTTTATTATTGTACATAATTTTTGGTCTTTACAAAGTGAATAAATTTTGATTTTAGTCTTGTAAACTAATTTTCCTTTGATTTTTATCTTTAAAATATAAAATCACTACTTTGAGTTCCTAATAATAATTTTAAGGTAGATAAATGATATTTATTTAAAAATTTATAAAAATATTTAGAAGTGTCACATACTAACATAATATCATTAACAATTATGAATAATACTTAAGATGATCACTTAAGTCTTTAATAGATTAATAAGTAGTTAAAATAATTATATAATAATAGAAAATATAAAGAATAGTTATAATTCTTTATGTGATATAAAACAAAGAAAAATTTATAAAAAACAAAATCAAAACTTATTTATTATAAAAGACTAAAAATATATTTAAGTCTATTAAAAAATATTTAAAACCAGCCATGTATTTAGTATGATTTTGTTATATCAAACTAATGATTCATATGATAAGTTACGTAATTATTAATATAATTGTCAGATCCTCACTTAACAATATAAGTTACGTAATTATTAATATGATTATCACATCCTCACTTAACAATATATTTTACAATGAAGACTATAAATAATGTTAAATAATTAAAATCAATCAATAAAATATATTTTACAATGAAGACTATAAATAATGTTGAATAATTAAAGTCAATCAATAAAGTATTGAGTAATTAAAAGTGAATTTTATAAAAAAAATAAAAAAAAGAGTGACTATAATTAGAAAAAAAATTGTTGAGGACTTAAAAATAATTTTATAAAAAAAAATGAGCATTAAAAATATTTATACTATTTATAAAGATGATACTTTTTTTTGGTACATGCATTATATATAGTCTTTTTTACCTATTGACTTTCAAAACACTTTTTCTCATTCATATATTTTTTTTATTTAAGATTTATTTTTTATTTTTACCTTTTAGTCAATTTATTTTTCAACTTCTCACACCCTCTGAATAATAATTCAAAACTACTAACACATTTAATTTTTAATCACTCAAATATATTTAACTTTGTCTATTTTTATAATTTATCATTTTTTTTAACACAAAGACACAAAATATCTATTTTATATTAATAAATTATAAACTTATCACATGATATTGTCAAAATGATCATGACAACATTATTTAACATATAGTCGACAACAAAGATAAAATTTGTTTAAAAAAAATAGAGACTCAGATGAGTCAACCTTTTATTTAAAAACTAAAAATAAAATTAAAAATATATTTAACCTCATTCCCTCACTCTCTCTCTATATATATTCCCTAACATACAATCGCACTTTTTTTAGTTAACAAATTCCATCAAATGAAGTATTTAAAAAATCTTACATATGACTTGTTAACATATTTCAAGTATTAAAAGAAGTAGGTATACATCATCAACCATTACAAGCATATGCATTCACATGAATTTTAGTTACTACATGTTAGCAAGTTGCATTGTTTGAAATTTAAGATAATTCTTAATTATAACATTGATATATTTTAGTTAAAGTTAAGTGTATGTATGGTAACAAATCTTATATACATAGAGAAAAAGAGAAAAAAAAAATCCTTATTTCTCTATCATTACAAAATGAAATTACTTTTAATTACTTTAAATTGATTTAAGAAAATAAATATCATACTACAAGTTTTCATGTAATATAATAATTCTTAAATAGTCAACAATTGTTATTTTTACAATTATACGCGTTTTAAATAATAATGCTCTTACTTTGTTAACTTTTATATATATATATATATATATATATATATATATATATATATTAAGAATTATACTTTGACATTTTTTTTATTAGATCACGAGGATGTAAATAAAAATTGAACATATAATTTTTACATATTACTCAGTTTCTTACCATTATGTTAACCTTAATAGTTTGTATGCTGTGACATTAAGTTTGTTTTGTAATAATTTCCTTTTTATTTTCTAAAACACTACAATTTAAAATCTTTATATTTTGATTATTAGTTTTTTTTTTGGTATTAGAGAGTATAGATAATGAAATATAAGAAAAAATATTTTAATTAAAAAATGTAAA